GCTCAGTGAACACAGCTAGGAAAATAGGTATGTACACTAACCCCCTTCTTTGTATTTATTTCTGTATGTATGTGTGTGTGCATATGTTTGTATCTGCTGTCCATCCATCCATCCATCCATCCAAAACCATGAGTTCATACAGATGCCTCTAATTCCCACCCTACAGCATAGAGTTCATTTCCATCTCCCCTTTCCTATCTGCAGCCTCTTTCTCTGACCATGAGGAGCTTGGCTCTCGTGATCCACAGTACATTTACTTATGTGTTCAATCCTAGTATACACATAAGACAATTTCAGCATTGCTAACCCATATGCCCCTAAGAAACCTATTTACTAACTGGACTACACCATATTTCTTTTTTATCTTTAACCTTATAGCATCTAGTCAAACTGTTATTTTCCAAAGTTACTTGGGCAACTCCCTGCTCCCTTCAACGTGGTTATATTAATCAACTGCATTCCCTACTCCCATCAATCCGTTAGCATCTGTATGTTTTGCATCCCTCCCATGTCCTGGCTGATGTGAGCTGTTTGCTTATTTTCCAGGTATTGAAACAGTAGCGTGGTTCTAAGTCAGAGCTACACAAAAAGCCAAGCTCAGAGGAGGGCTGCTGCCTCCTTAGCCTTATGACCGCACTCTCTGGTCACCCACGCCCTTCTAGTATCTTATACCAAGCCTGCTGCATGGTGCGGCCTCAGTAAACACCCGGTGTCTAACTGTATATTCACCGTGTCCTGACTCCTGAAGTCCAGTCTACGTTTGCAATTCCTCCTTTACGTCTTGAAACAGGGTACTTCATCTTATTACGCTCAACAAAAGGCTTTGAGGAAAATCACTGCTTTTCTTAATTAGGTAGGTTCTGAGATGGAATTTAGCAGCCACTCAGGGAAGTGTTAGCTTATAATAATGAAGCCTATTACTCTTCTCGGACACGCAGACTGACTGGTGACTAGAACTCAGCTTGATGGAAATTCTCGGGCAACATTTTCACATTTCAGCCTTTTTTTTTTTTTTTTAACATAGCAATAGCACCTCAAAACAGCTTGGCAGCATAAGAAATTATTTTTAAATCTCTGGAAAAGTACAAGATTAAAAGGAGCAAGAGTTGCATAAACATTTCTAAGAAAAATAATTACTAGTAAAAGTTGCAGGCTTTTTTTTTTTTTTAAATCACATAATAATCTCTTTAATGCTCCAGTTGTCCCTTTTCTCTGTACTTGATTTTCCAATTAATGCGGAAGAAAGCCACCAGAGATGAGTTAGTAAACTTAAAACCAGTCTTAAATATCTGGGAAGGAAAAAAGAGAGTTCTGCAAATGTAGAGAAGGAAATTGGCATCTGACACTATGCCCTTATTTTCATATCTGGAGAACACTTGGATCAAAACATGAAAAATATAAAACTTCAGGATTAGGGTAATGTGGATGGTAAAGTCATATGTCATTAGACATTTCCAAAAGGACAATTAAATGTTTTATAAATTCTGCAAGTAAATAGGCCTTTCCATATGTAAAGTAAAACCAGTCAGTCCTCTGCAACTTTGCTGTAAACTGATAACTAGACCACTCACTGATGGTCAGACTGCAGATGGGTAGGATTATGGGTTTGAGGAGTGTGGATAGGTTACAGGCAACCCCAGAATCAGTAAGTTTCATTTATAGAGGGGTCTGGGTTGCAGTCTATGTGGATCCATGGGCTTCCATGTCAAGACAGCCTCAGGGCTGAATCCTGGCCGGGCCACTGACTTGCTACATATCACTGGGCTGGAAAATATCCCTAAGCCTTGCTTTCTTCATCCATGTGATAGGCACAGGAATGCCAACCTACAAGTGTTGTGACTTAAACCTGATGTGAAGCACGTGGTAAGTGCCCAGCAGGGAATAGGAGCTCAATTGGTAAGCACAGCCTCCTGACAGAGAGCCAGCGACCTGGGACAGCCACTAGCTGGAATGTTGGCTCTGCCACTTATTCACTGCAGGGCCTTGGGAAAGCCACTTAACTCTCCAAGCTACTGAAGAGGGAGTAGTAATTTAGAATGGGGACAATAATCAATAGCCAACTCTGAGATAGGCATGCTAACAAATAGAGTATTTGCAAGGATCAAATGAATTAATACAAACAGAGCACTTAGAACAGGAACAGGCTCAATGCACTGTATAAGAGCAATGATTATTAATTTTTAAATTAATTAATTATTATTATTTTTTTGTAGAGACAGGATCTTACTATGTTGCCCAGGCTAGACTTAAACTCCTGGCCTCAAGAGATCCTCCTGCCTTGGCCTCCCAAAGGATTACAGGTATGAGCCACCACGCCTGGACTGATGGTTATTATTCACTGTGACCATTCAGTCAGCCCACCAGAAAAATAGGGAGGGCATGGTGGTGGAAGTCAACTACTACACAGAGTACCAGACCTGATGCAGGGTTTCAGAAGGAGTTGTGTTAGCAACTTACATCAATAGCTTAAGACTGTACACAGGCTTGCTCTGCTTGGTAAATGCTATGTCTGGTAGCTTAACCCCCAGTAGTAAAGAGCCAGGCCGAAGTCAAGAGGACAACAGCCCAGGCACCCATTGGGAACATATTATAGCAATTTGGCTACAGGGAACAAGAACAACAGCAAAAACCTTGCTCGTGTGTTTTGCAAACTATATCCTATAGTCAGCCTGCTTCAAAAAATTGGCTCTATAGAGACAGAGAACAAATCCTTAAGGTGAATAAGATGCTACAATCTAAAGTGCTGGAGTGTTCAATCTTTTCTTTTGCAACTGTTTATCCTCTGGCATATTTATTTAAATTGCTCATCTTCTATAGATGCTGCATTTCATCTCATGAAAAAAAAATCAATAGAAACAGAACTAGTGGGCTGTTCTGTCCTTATTTCTAACCATGCTAATAAAATGCTATTTCTCAATGTATTGACACTGCGTTAGGCAGGGAAATAGTTATTTGTACCTCTTAAACTCACACAGAAAGGCATGCATTCCATTAACTTTCTAGGATTCTTTTTTTTCCAGGCAAGGCTTTCTCTCTAGTCTTCTTTCTTCCTTCTTTAGAAAACAGTTGGCTGTGAATAAGCGCAGTGACACCCCAGGTTTCCTAGAGGAAAATTACTACAGGTCCACATGCTCTTATCCTCAATTCCAAATTCAAGAATGTTCTGAAAACTGAAAGCTTCCTTAAAACTTAACCTGAACTGACACAAGTCTCTAAACTTAAAACATTTATTTCACTTGGTTTCAACAGCACATACAGATTACAATATGCTGCCTGAGACTCCGCTGGGGTGCTGCATGGTATGTGCATTGTTATTCTTCTAAAATCTGCATTCTCCTCCTAAAACTCTAAAATTTCTGAATTCCAAAGTAAATTGGGCCCCAAGGCTTTGAAATACAGGATTGTGGACCTGTAGGAAAGTGACTGATACTGTTTTGTTCCAAACACAGCTTCATGAATATAGTCAGTGGGAAAAATAATTCTACAATTTTCTTTAAAACACCCTCTTTTAAAACCAGAACTTGGACCAAGCCTTCACATTGCTGATCTCATGATTAAAGATGGAGAATAATCACTCAGAAATTTCACCCAAAGTGTTGTCCTCCCCTCGAGAGGCTGTTCCATACTCATTCCATATGAGGTTTTCATGGAAAATTTCCAATTTGGGAATTTTCCCAATAGAGGACATATGCGAGCAGACGTGTAAGGTTGCCAAGAACATGCACCCCTCCTCACATGGGTGTATGCTTTTGGGAGCGAGCGACTCTTTTGGAAGCCTGGCCTGCGCTGGACTCCATTAGACCTGGGTTTGAAATTCCTGCTCCATTAAGTAGCAAGTTTATAACCTCTGTGGGGTTCCATTTCCTCATGTGTAAGTCAGAGAAAATACCATCTACTACTCAGGACTGCTGGAATGAAACAAAATAAAATCATAGGCCTAATGCACAGAAATAAGGTTTAGCTTCTTTCCACTTGCTCTGTCCCTTTCCACGGTTTCTTTCCTCCTCTGAGCAAGACATTATTTGGAAGGCTTAGAGTTCACTTTCTTCTTGTGGACAAATTTTAGGTGCATGCATTTGCGGTCTCTGCTTGTGTATCACATAAGGTAGATGGAAATGGATTTGGATTGAGGTCCTTGAACCAAAATCAAATTCAGAAAATTCAAGGAAAATAGGTATTGAACAGAGAGGAGTAGACTGCAGGGAGATCCCTGTCCAGGACCCAGGAGGCTGGGGTCAGAGATATCATTTAAGGAACCCTGGTCAGTCATAAGGGTTTGGCCCCACTGACTCTAGATTTGACTGACAAACTGAACCAGGGAAGCCCCAATGCTTGTGATGCTTGCACATGGTTCTTAAATCAAAAGTTCTACACCCCAGCTGCACAGATGGTCAGGCCCACCCCTGAGAGTCAGCTAGTGTGGCCGTTCTTAGGAGTCTAGGTGATTTCAGTATTGAAGTCCAAGTTTCCAAGTACTACCCACAGATGATTAGTAGATGGTGAGTGTGTGCTTCTCTAAAATGACAATAAAAACCTAGAGCGCAAAAGACCAGCAGTTGCAAGAATTCACCTATTTCCTCCACTCTGGAAGACTGGCCTAGGGGAGAGGGTTGGTGACGCCTACGTGCGCCATCATGATCTGCTCCTGCTCCGCACAGCCCCTGGCTTCCAGGAAGGAAGTAGCACGGGTGAAACCACGGGCACGAGGGCAGGTGGAGGTAGCCTTTACCTGCCAGGCTGGATGTGACTCCCTCGCACTGCAGCGTGCAGACGGACGGGGCACCAGCCCCAGGCACAGGGTCTGGGTAGGGAGGAGGGCATTGTAGATGCTCTCTCACCCCTGGGAACAAAACCCCCACCTCAACTGATTGGGAAAGGAAAAACACACAGCACAGGGCCCCGCGTGGCCAGGAGTTATCAGGAGCACAGAACAAACATTAATATTTAACTGAGTAATGCTATTTGTGAAACATGCTGAAGAGTCACTGGAATTGTCTCACCTGGGGCTTTCCCATTCTTGGTCATCCTTGTCTTTCTCTTCTTTGGTGTCTCCAGTATGTGGGTGTTTCTGCACAATTCGCATTCCACCAGCCTTCACTGAAATGCAAACAGGGAAAGGTGTGATTCATGCAGAAACGGAACCGCCTGTGGATGGGGGAACTGGCTGGGAAGATTTTGGTTGCCCAACAGCCATGAATGAGCTAGTCCAGAGAGTCTGGCGGTGACAATTATTAACTGGGAAGGTTAGTGTTTGGGGGAGATTCAACACGACACAGCACTCAATGCTGTCTCTTACTCCACAGCCACTTGGAAACTTTCCATGGCTCTTGTTGTCTTTGATGGTCACCTTGCAAGTATTTTGTAAGAGCAGTAGCATAACCAGAGTATAAACCGTGTGAAGAAGTGGCTGCCTGCTTTAGGTCCTGCACATGGTCTTGACACAAGCACTCACTTAAACCCTGCCCTGTGTGTGGCATTTATTTTCTCAAATAACAAGGATGCTTTGGATGGGATGAAATAATGATGGGTGACACCGGACAGCTACCGTGCTTCATAAAGGCCAGGCCAGCGGTAGCAGAGACTCCTGCAGGAGCCTTGCTCAAACTATGTTGTGAAACCCTCCTGCTGGCAGATGTTAATTCAGCTTTTTAAAACAGCTTTATTGATATATTAATATAATTCATGTACAATACAATTAACCTATTTAAACTGTGCAATTAAATGGCATCAAGTGTACTGAGGAGTTGTACAACCAGTGCCACAACCAATTCTGGAACATTTTTATCACCCCAAACAGAAACCCCACATCCATTAGCAGTCGCTCTCCATGGCCTTCTTCCCCAGCTCCTGGCAAAGTCACCTGGATCTGCCTCTTCTGGACATTTGATAGTTGTGGAATTATAAAATACGTGGCTTTTGGTGACTTTCTTTCTTTCTTTTCTTTTTTTTTTTTCTTTTGAGACAGAGTCTCACTCTGTTGCCCAGGCTAGAGTGCCATGGCGTCAGCCTAGCTCACAGCAACCTCAAACTCCTGGGCTCAAGCAATCCTCCTGCCTCAGCCTCCTGAGTAGCTGGGACTATAGGCAGGAGCCACCATGCCTGGCTAATTTTTTCTATATATATTTTTTTAGTTGGCCAATTAATTTGTTTCTATTTAGTAGAGACGGGGTCTTGCTCTTGCTCAGACTTGTTTTGAACTCCTGACCTTGAGTATTCCGCCCACCTTGGCCTCCCAGAGTGCTAGGATTACAGGCGTGAGCCACCATGCCTGGCCTGGTGACTTTCATTTAGCATGTTTTCAAGGTTCATCCATGTCGTAGCATGTATTTCATTCCTTCTATTGCTGAATAATATTCCATTGCATAAATAGACCACATTTCATCTATCCATTCATAAGTTGGTGGACGTTTGGTTTGTTTCCACATTTTTGGCTATTATGAGTAACATGGTTATGAACAACTTGCAGACACGTTTTCGTGGCAACAAATGTTTTCATTTCCTTGGGTCCCTATCTAGGAGTGCAACTGATGGGTCGATAGTAACTCTGTATTTACCCTTTTGAAGAACTACTGAACTGGTTTCCAAAACTGTGGCGCAATTTTACATTCCTGCTAGCTAGGAGGGTTCCAACTTCTCCCCATGCTCACTCACACTTGCAGTTGTCTGTCTTTCAATTACTTCCCTCCTAGTGGGTATGAAGTGGTGTCTTATTGCAGTTTGATTTGCATTTCCCTACTAGCTTATAACTTAATACCATATTGCAATGTGGGGATCCTAGGATCTAATAAGAGAAATGCTAGGTTGAAAAAAATGAAATAGGTTTCCTCAAGAAAGATTTTTGGCCTTTCGTGTGCTAACATGCATTATGAAGATTTATGGGGGCACACAGCATGCAGTCTCTCCCAAATGCATGGGACCCTCTTTTTTATTCCCAGTAATACTAGTTATCCTCCTTTACGACTAGAAGGTTCCATGGAATAGAATCTGGGAATGCTGGCTCTACACCCCAAAAGCCAGCCTTATGTGGTGGTCACCAGCACATGTTTTGGAGTCAGCAAGTTCCTCGACATCCTCAGCTACGTGGTCTCAGACAAGCCACTCAGATTCCCACAGATTCATTGCTTCATCTACATTAAGGGGATAAACTTCCCAAGATGGAGCCATTTAAACGGGGCCCGAGAGGTGTTCAGTGGAGTCCTGGCACAGACGAGCCCGTGCTGGAAAGAAAGTAGAGCCGTGCCCATTGCAGTCACCACCGCCGCCCGAGGCTCTCGTGCAGGCCTCCTCGAGCCCCACCCCTCAGGACAGCTCCTCTGAGTCACCTGCCACGAGACAGCTCGAATCGAATTGCACGATGCAGTCAACGTGTCACTCCATGTTTTCTGGTGTTTCCAATCTGGGCGGACCCTGCTGAGTCACAAAAGTCCAGGACAAGTTTCTTTATGACGCTGATGAGTAAGAAGGCCAAAAGGAACAGCAGCTCCGGCTCCCACGCTTCCCATTTATTAGTCTTTGATTTCCCTGGAAGACTTTGCCAGCCCCTGACTTCAGGACCAACGGTGCTCTAGCAGCTGCCCATTAGAACTGGGCAACACAGTGAGCAAGGAAAATAAAGGGCTGCATCTAAACAGTGCACCTGCTGGTCTGGCTTTGGAACCAAAATCTCCCTGTTGTCCCCACCTCTTTTCAACAAAGGGGACATTCTACTATGGAAAGAAAGAAATATTAATAGAATCCTGTTCAGTAATCTCCTCAAAAATCTGCTTTATATCCTATCAGCTGATTTTTAATCATTTTTGTTTTCATTTCTAGAGCTTATCGTTTTTTTGTCTCAAATTCATCAGGTCTTTGAATGAATCTTACCCTTATGTTTTCAATTCCTTTATGTATTTAATCATTTTAGGCATCCTTGTCTTACTGTTGTATATCCAATTATTATGTTTTCTGAAGTCCTTGGGAGTCTAATCCTGCTGTTTGTTTTGTCTGCTGACTCCTGCTCTTGTGCTGGGTGACTGTGGATTATGAGCTTGTCTTTGCCAGGCTTTCCCAGCCAGGATCCTGTGGGGCCTGCGGTGTAGACAGCAACCCTTTGGAGAGATGCTGCGTGTATTTCTGTCAGACCTGGAGCAAAGATGTCTCCAAATCCTTTTCATGGCAGATTTTTCAGAATAGAAATTGTCAGACCAAATAGCATGAATCTGAACTCAACTCACGTAAAAGCAGGCCTGTGTTTAAAAATTCTCCAGGAAACTCTTTTCCACACCTGGAGCGGGGCTGATGCAGCCCTGCCTCCCTCCATCCCAGGGCTCTGGGCAGGTCTCCCTTCCCCCACCTTTCCCCAGGGTTAGGCTTTTAAGAATCCAGATTTCCACTGGGGTCACAGGCGCTGTCCCCTGCCTCGTGTGGGCTCCAGTCTCGTAACTGTCCGAATTTCAGTTCCTTCCTTGTTTTTGGTCCCCTGGGACTTCCCTAAGTTTGAGTGCAGATTAAAAAATAAAGAAGAAGGAGAAGAAAGAAAGTGCCACCATTTGCAGACAGCTATTTTTTTTTTTATCTAAGATTTCCCAGGCTGTCTAGTCTGCCACAGGATCAGAAATGGAAGTCAAACATAAAATTCTGTGCTAGTTAAGATAATTTTCCAATCTCTTTGTGAATGTTTTTGAGCAAAAAGTGAGCCTAGAAGAATTGTCCCACTAAGTATTTTTCTTAAATTCATTTCCCTCCTTCCCCCCTCTATTTCAGCACCATTATAAAGCGACCAAAGATGCTGTGATGGGCTGCGTTGTGTCCCCACAAAATTCATATGTTGACGTTCTAACCCCCACACCTTTGGATTGTGACTGGATTTGGAGACAGGGCCTTTACAGAGGTAATGAAGTTAAAATGTGGTCGTTAGGGTAGGGCTCTAAGACAATACGACTAGTGTCCTTATAAGAGGAGGAAACACCAGGGATGTGGGCACACACGAAAAACAGCTGTGCAAGGACACAGCAAGAGGGTGCCATCTGCAAGCCAGGAGAGAGGCCCTGGGAGAAAGCAGAACTGCCACACCGTGCTCTTGGACTTCCAGCCTCCATAACTGTGAAAAATAAACGTCTGCTGTTTAAGCTACCTGGTCTGATGTATTTTGTTATGGCAGCTCTAACAAATGAATGCAGATGCTCATATAAAAATGATATCTGAATCATTTCAATCTGGCAGACATAACATTTTTTATTTATTTATTAATTATAATTTTTTTTGCATAGACACAAAACTTTTAAACTGTAACTCACAGATGTGTTCTATAAACTGACTAAAGGTAAAAAGGGCTGTGCAACTAACTACAAAGAAAACTGATGATGAATGTCAAGTTGACATTTGAAATGATCAAGTCTTCTGAAACTCTCAAACCAGCCTGTCCACTCCTCTGTTGGAATAAGCACACGGTGTCAGGGCTCAGTCACCTGGCATTAGCACTTGCATTTAATTTAGTGTCTGAAAACAATTAATTCCATCAATCCCTCTCACTATGTTTGGTGATTAATGCAGCAATAAAAAGTGGCAATAATAATAATAACTCAAGGCTGAGACAGATTCATTGTAACTTGCAATACTGCCAAAAAATATGACAGCACATATTTATCGTGACTGTTGTCTCATTGTCTCTAGAACTTTTCATTTGTAAAACTGCAAAGGCAGGATTACTTTTGCAGAGATCTTTGCAGAATTTTTAAATCTAAATATTTTTATGAGAGATATTAGGAAAAAATTCAGATTTCTGTGGTGTTATTCAAATGAGAGCTTCAAATTTAAAGAATAAGAAGATTCGTCTTAGCAGAAGTGCTATGTAGAGGTCCAGAACACAGATCTTGGAGCCAGACCCTTGGTTTCAACTCCTAGCCCTGCCCGTGTGTGTGCCTGTGTGTGTACATGCACCCGTGTGTGTGTGTGTGCGTGAGCGCACGCGCACGTGTGTACATGCACCTGTGTGTTCATGCATGTATCTAGGCAAGCTGCTGAAGCTGTACCTCAGTTTCCTCCACATGTGAAGAAAGAATGGCATTGTTCCTCTCTCTATAGGACAGTTGAGGATTAAATGAGTTAGTGCACGTGAA